TTCCAGCACGCCCAGTTTCCTGGTGTCATGTGTCGAGGCGATGATTGTGGTGTTCTGTGTGAGTGTTCTTCGGGTGATCTGTGTGCTTTGTTCCCGCTGCATGTGGTCCTTTGGAGCCCCCTCAGCAATTTATATTTCTGGTATACACAACATGGCGGAAATCGATAGACAAAAACAAGTCACCAATGCTCCTTCCAGTATATATTAGAGTTCAGTGACAGCAACATACTTAAGATTTAGGCATATGCACTCGAGTTGTGCGGTGCAGCCTACAACACACAGGCATACTGGCATTGGAGCCGTGCGGCATAGCCTACCACCCAGGTGACTGCACAGTATACTCGTACATCGATACACTGATTTGGGCCACAGTTACGAGTCCGCGCTCCGGGGGGGGGGGGGGCATGTGCACCCCATTTAGCCGAATCTTTTGTTAAGACCGGCCGTGTCATCATACGTGCCTAGAAGATGCATCCATCTCTTCTCTCTTACACGCCTGTAGTCCACGTTCTGCATCCACACTCTTTCCAGTCCCACCACGCGTAAATCGTCCACACTGTGGTCCGGAGTGCAGAAGTGGTGCCTCATCGGAAGCGCCACGGTCGGGTTGCTCACCCGTACGGATGATAGGTGGTTCTGTATCGGCCGTACAGATTTCCACCTGTCTCTCCCACGTAGCACACGCACTCACATACATTACACCATATTCCGTAAATAGCATTTACACTTTTACACCCTATCGTCCTATCGTACGTCGTCACGCGCCCCTCCCCCGGTCCCCTCACGCGATCACTGCTTGAGTACATCCGTCTGCAAATGACACACTGTTTGCCGCAGCTCTCTGGTTTGCTATCGCCCTTCTTTGAAACAATACGCCTAGTTTTTGCATTTACTAAAATGTCACGTAGGTTCCTACCTCGTTTGTATGCTACCATAGGCTGACCTGGAAAGACTTCGCGTAGCCTATGCGATCTGTGGAGTATAGGTGCTGCTTCTTTGTGAGTACCGACCTGATATTCGGTAGGAATTTGGAGTACGTGACCGCCATAGGTACTTTCCCCTCAGTTTTGTTGGACGGTCGGTCAGAAAGAAGCTGTTCCCTATTTACTGAATCAAGCTTTTTTACCCGCGCCCGGCTGGGGGTCCTGGATTTCCACGCCCTGCTGGGGGGGTGTTTGAACACCCCCCCTTCTAACTCGGCTCCTGGGCCACGTAACGATACGCGGAAGGCGGCGTTCGAAAGAGCGTCAAAAATAATGAGGAAATTACTTCGGTCAATTTTTTGGTCAGGTCAAAGGTCAGGTCACCAGAGGTCATTGAAGGCAAAATTTCGCCGATTTCCGGGTCGAATGTCGAAAATTTCCAAGAAGCCAACGCATAACTCGGGAACCAATAGAGCTACAGCGCCGCGGAAAAGCGCATTCGATAGCCCTATTAACGCCCTTTCTGAGTAATTTTCTCAGATTTGACCTAACGTCAACGGTTTTGCCTGCAGGGGGCAAAAACTGCAAAAATAGCCGATTTTTTCGGAAACAGTTTTTCGGCAATAACTTTTGACCCAAGCATTGTACGAGCTTACTTTTACCGGCATCGTGTTCCTCTCGTCAAGACGCATCGAATGAACTATAACTTGACCTTGAAAGGTCAACTTAAAAATTTGACCTCAGGTCAAGGTCATGACCTGACCGGAAAGGGTCATGTTGCATATCAGTCGATCCGTATCGTCGAGCTGAACACATCTAAGGCGTTTTCATCGCTCTAGCATGCCTCTATCAAAAGTTATTTTCGAAAAACTGTTAGATACCATTCATGACCTAAGATGACCTCAGGGCATAAACAGGGGTCACGGACACCATTTTCATGTTCAGTGTGTCTAAACCACTTGTAATTCAGTGTTTGGGAGTGTTTATAATGTCTTTCGTCCAAAAGAGGCGCATTTCAATTTTCTCCCATTGACTTATAATGGGGAGGTCGCAAAATTGACCTGACCTTAGGTCATCGATATCAAAATTCTGAGATATACATTTTGTACATGCTATTGCTCTTAGCAATCGCTGAAAGTTTCAAAGCGATCGGTCACTCGGTGTAGCTATGACAGACATTGAAACTTTTTATGAGGTGAGGTCACTTCAAGTGACCTGGTGACCTGACCTTGAATGACCTTGGGCTGAAATTTTCAGAACATGTGTAGAATTGATGTATGATAAGGTGTACCAAAAACGGCGGCGCTGCGCGCCGCCGTTTTTGAGATATTCGCGAAAAACCACAAGGGGGGTGTTCAAACACCCCCCCCCCAGCAGGGCGCGGGTTAAACTCCCTAGCTACTACTGTTTGAGGATATTCTCTCTCAAGAAGACGTTTCTTGATGTCCAACTTTACCACGCGCCACGTGCGGTGGTTGGCAAGAACGCATGGTGGCCATCACACCACATAACTTTTACGTCCAAGTGACATTCAGTAAAGAAGACCGCTTGTCAATCGGATGTCCCGTTCCTAAGATATTAGCTTTTGAAGAGCGTCCCCACTGCCGGCCGGCCGGCCGCTCATACTCAGGATTTTCCCTTAATTACGAGCGAGCGAGCGCAGCGAGCGAGCGAGTTCATACTGAACCAGTAAAACGCCTTTTGGGCGAAGAACGAGCGAGCGGGATAGTGAGCCCTGCACGTGCGGAAGGGCGAGAGGGTAATTCCAACGGGCTTATGCAAAGCACCCTTCTAACCGGTCGCTAGCGGTGTGCCAAATTTGAACGTAATCGACCAGGCCGTTCCTGAGATCTGGAAGCGGCATTCTGCACGTGCGCACGTGCAAATGGGATCCAAACTGACTTTTGCACGGCACCCTACTAACTGGTCCCCAACCGTGTACCAAATTTGAGCGCAATCGGCCCAGCCGTTCTCGAGATCTGGGAGCGCCTCCTGCACGTGCGCACGTGCAGTAGCACCCCAACCTTAACACATGCGGATGAATTATCTGATGGAGACCTAACTGTGTACCGAGTTTCAATTCAATCGGCCCAACCGTTGTGCCGTTATTGAGGTTGCAATTTTGGGGGTTCTTAAAAAATGTCCAACTTTACCACGCGCCACGTGCGGTGGTTGGCAAGAACGCATGGTGGCAATCACACCACAGAACTTTTAAGTCCAAGTGACATTCAGTAAAGAAGACCGCTTGTCAATCGGATGTCCCGTTCCTAAGATATTAGCTTTTGAAGAGCGTCCCCACGGGCCGGCCGGCCGCTCATACTCAGGATTTTCCCTTAATTCAGTATGAACTCGCTCGCTCGCTGCGCTCGCTCGCTCGTAAAAATGGTAGAATAATGACACTCCCGTACATATAGGTCGGCGAGTGTTGAGCAATTCGTGTGTGTGTCACAAGCTCGCAACATTATTTCTAGATCTTAAATTCCTTAGCCTTGCGACTGTCAACACATTCTAATTTATTCAACACATTCTGTGAATGTCATTCTTACGCGAAAACAAGCTCTTAAGTATTCAGAATATTGGGGGTACTGTAGGTACCCCCCAGGTAAACTATTGAGGAGGTCCCGACCCCCGCGTACCCCCCTGTGGCGGAGCCCCTGCACTTGTGGAGACGTTCCATGACCTGAGATAACCTCAGGGGCATACAAGGAGTCACAGGTGCATTTTCCGGTTCAGTGTGTCATGTTTACCTGTGTCACGATGTTTGAGGGTGCTTTTCGGTCAAAAGAAGAGCATTTCATTTTCCTCCCGTTGACTTATACTGGAGAAGTCGCAAAATTGACCTAACCTTAGGTCACCGATATAAAAATTCGGAGATATAGGAATTGTTCATACTGATTTCCTAATGCGAAAGCTCTAGTTTCAAACTTCTGGGATTTAACTATAGTATAATGACAGAATCACATCTCTTTAGAGGTATGGTTATTTAACTTGGCCTGGTGACCTGACCTTACGTGACCTGGGGTCAAAATTTTCGCACACCATGCGATATTGATGTATCATAAGCTATACCCAGTTTCGCGGCGCTGGGCGCCGTGGTTTTCTTTAAACGCGCAAAAACTGGCAGGTGTAGCCAAAAACTCGGGCGAAGGTTAATCGTCTCGGGATCGTCTCATTCGTCTCAAACACAGAACAGCGTTATTCAAACTGGTTTGAAACTGATTTGCTTGCCTTGTGTTAAGTTTGTATTTATGTTATCGTCGCGATTATATTTTGTTACCTTGCGTCGCGTCGTATTATGTTACCGCGTTGTATTTATCGAGCGGGTCGACGGCGTTGCTCGACCTGGCCGCCCGCCGCGGGCCGGCGTGACCGCTATGGCGCATGCGCGCTGACCTGGCGCCGGTCACGTGATCGACAGTGACCTCGGCGCGGCGGTGCCTGGACGGGGGCAGTAGGCGAGCGGGAGGCGGAGCGGACGGTGGCCGGTATTCCGGATCGGCCACGGCTGTCCGTATCTGTCTCTCGGTCCCTGCTCCCCTCGGCCTTCCCCGCCAGTCGGGGGTGGGGGTGGCATCCAGAGCTGCCCTCACCTTCCGCTGGGCGGTCGGCACCTACCCACCTTTTGTGTGCGCCTACCCACCGACCATTACCTGTGTAGTGCCCTGCCTACCCACCGGCCATTGCCTGTGTGATTATGTACCACCATCGCAAATACAGCCGCTTAAACGTATTTTAACTCTTTGGTCCTTAATTCATTTTTATGCGCCTGATTCTCCACTCTTAAACCACCACTTTCAACATAGTCCTCCGGGGTCGGATGAGCACTTGTAGTTAAATCAGGACATAAACCAGAGGTTTAAAATGGACGATCGGGTTAAACTTAGGACCAAATTGAGAACGAAAATTACTAAAACTGTAAAGGATACAAAAGCCTATCGGGATAAAAGTACCGGGGATATCGACCCGGATTACCTGGCATACAAAGTTCAACAACTGAATGAACTGCGAGACGATTTGAAGGCTGTTCAAATTCTTCTAGACAAAGAAGGCCATCCCGATGAATCCCCACACAGTGAAATGCTGTCTGAGGAGATATTTATGGCGTCTCGTCTGCTGGCCCGACTCGAGGGAGCGGCGAGGGGAGCGACGCAGGCCGGAGCGCCTGAACATGACGTCAGCCTGAGTAGCGACCTCCAGTCCTCACTCGTTGTTAAGATACCTACCTTCAACGGAGATCTGATGAAGTGGAGAGCGTTCTGGGAACTGTTCTCTGTGTCCATCCACTGTAACAGCCGCTACGCCAATGTTCAAAAATTTGTCGCACTGAAGTCTCACCTGAGTGGTGCAGCCGAGAAAGCTATCGATGGAATCCCCGTCTCGGGGGATGGATACCTCGCCGCTGTCGACATCCTCCAAAAGCGGTTCCAAAGGGCAGATGTCGAAAAGGAGAACCTCATGAAACAGATCCTCGATGCACCTACCGTCCATAACAGCAGTGATCTGAAAGGCATGCGGTGCCTAATAGATCATCTGTCAGCTCATACAAGAGCTCTCCTCGTTCTCGGTGTGACTACCGAGAGCTTCTCCAACTTCCTCTTGCCTGTGATGAAGGACAAGGTTCCTGAAAGATGGAGGCTGGACTGGGTTCGACAAGAGAAGTCCAGCTATGAGGACTTCCTGGCATTCCTGGAGAAGGAGGTCACCCTACGTGAATCCGCTCGGTCTACACTACACCATCGACCACCAGTTCAGCATCCTCTACCCCATCGCCAGCCACCACTTCGGCCCTGAACATACAGCGGCAGAAAGTCGAGAAACGGTCGAAGGCCTGGACCTGTGAAGCCTGTGGCTTGGGACAGCATGGACTGAACAAATGTCAGCAGTACAGTAGGTCTACTAAAAAAGTCCCCCGCTCCAGAGGCGGCCGGCCGGCCGAACCCCCGGATTCCAGCCCCGACTCTATGCGCAGGCCGCGGCAGCGACACGGGTCAGGTCGCGGCGCCCGGCGAGTGGGTCAGTTGGCGGCGGCCGGCCGTGGAGTGAGGACGCCGCGTGTGGGGCGCAGAGATGCCGCAGTGCAGAGGAGGGGAAGATAATGACTCTGCACGATGCCGGAAATGATGCCTTTGTGATCTAAATTAAACACCTGCAGTGTATATCCTCCCTTGCCCCATTCCTATTTTATCATAATCCTTCAATAATCCGTAATGGCCATTCAACGCAAGCAAGCAAACAAAACAACCCGTTTAGCGGCGACATCATCTCGGATAAAAAAGCGACAGTGATGATTAGAATAGACTTAGCGCGAGGGCAAATCGAGGTGTATAACTATATGTATCCCATACCGAGTATTTTATTCCCATCTAGCGAATTAAGATTGGCGATCTTGTCCAACAAGTCAGCGGCCGTTCTAGACACAGATAAATGCTTTGTTTTCGGTCGCATCATTATCTGCAATAATTCGAAGCGAGGATTAACCCTCGCCGGCCGAGAAGAAAGGGTGGATGCCGCCACCATGTATTTTTTTTTTGCGGTAGCTCAAAGAACACTGATGATAGAAGGCTGACATTTCACATGCCTTACATTTCATTCAAGCCGGATCACTTGACATCAACCACGTTTTCAGGTCAGGTCACTTAACTATGACGTCTTAATTAGGTAAACCTCTGCACGGTTGTCGGTTATAAAATGATGCAATCCGCAATGCACTTAGTGTCATATAAGCATAATGCGGAAAGTTATGGAAACTGTTGATTTGGCGTCGGAAATGATCTGAAACTATACCTCAAGCACATGAAATCGTGACTTCATACATTCTTGGCAAGGTCTAATGCTTCACTTTTGCATTGTTCACCTTGCGTGACGTCATTTATGACGTCACTAGGGTCATACGAGTGCTTCGTCAATAACTCCCGAGTCCCGATCAAAATGAGCTAGCCAGTCGGGACAGCCATCAATGGACTTTGCAAGACTTGCCGAATCAAATGTTATGCAACATGTCCTCCTTTCAACAGCTTCGTGACCTGCGTTGCTCTAACATGACACTGACCTGAGGTAAACATCCTAAATTGCTTCACCTAAACAAAAAAGCATATAAATCGACGCGTCTGAGAACAGAAAACACGATTGTATCGAAATGACGATAATGCGTTTAGTTCTTTTACCAAAAACCGATCAAATGCCTTGGGGCCCTTGACCTGCCCATAAGAGGTCACTGATATTTTAAAATGGGGTACCAGTCGCTGTGTCACGTAACGACGCAAGCGCTCGTTTTTTCCGCGAGGCTCTAGCAGCTAGCTCAATTATAGGAGCTAAGGGTCGGGGAATCGCTCCCTTCTCACTCACTACCTATTTGGCCGGGATAGTGTTTGCAATTATTGTTAAAATCTAGCATTTTTATATTTCAAATGACCCATTTTTCCCGCACCCAAGTCTTTCAATTCAAGGTCATAACACCAGGTCACGTCAAGTGACCTTACTTCAAGGAAAGTGCCTGTGCTCATCATATCTAAATACACCGACTAACCGATCGCTTAAGAACTTTCAGCGATTTTAATGGGCAACAGTATATGTATTTGAAACGTTTACTTTGCAAGTTTGACATTATTGACAGAAAGGCCGGGTCAATTTTGAGATCGCTCAAGTCAATGGGAGAAAATTGAACTGCGCTTTTTTGGACGGAACGCATAATAAACACTCTGAAAACATGTGGTGCTGACATACAATACTGAATGAAAAAATTGTTTGTTTTGTTGGGGGCCATCTTTTTCGGTCTGAAAAGGCCCTTGCAGAGCTATGACATAACTATGCTCTGGTGTAGTAATTGGGTTGTGCGAGCCAGCGACAGTGATCTGCGGAAGCCAGACTGTTCCCGTGGGACGATTGCCCTGTCGGGACGGTCCAGCCGTCTCCCAAACGGTCACCCGAAGAGGATTATGTGTCCTGGAATGGATCCGACATCAACTACTGGTTGGCTGGTGGGGTGACCTCCAGTCCAGAGAGGGAAGCATGAAGACTAGGGGCGATGCGGATTGGTTTTTCCTGAGGATAGCGAGGATGGAAGGAATCTAGCACCCTTGAACCTTCCTTATACCTACTGAATGTATCTCAAGCTGTTAAATCTCCTAAGCGTTTTTTCTCGACATCGTCAAGGTGTCATTAACAAAAATATGAAATCCGGAAGGATAGATTAAATATAGAAATTGTGGCCAACAGAACATTATCAGTTGCGTTCAACATACTCGTAAGCATGTTTACACACCCAGCTTACATATGAGCCATGTAATAATTATTTTTGATAGACATGCTTAAGTTATGAAATCTTCTGAAGTGTTTGTAAAGTTCCACGGTACGGATCTAATATCCTGCTATGCATTATGACAATTTCTGGTCAGGTCATGTCTTTGAACAAAGGCCAAATTTTTCAAATGACCTTTAAAGACCAACTTTTGAGACATTCGAAGCGTTTTGATAAGAGGAACACGAGGCTGGTAAAACTAATTTCATGCAAGTTTTAAGCTAAGAACTTTTAAATGTTTGTGGAAAATCAATTGGTTTTCTCATAATACCGATGGTGGCAGTTGTTGTTATTTACATGCTAAGCCGTTGACCTTAATTAAATCTGACAATATTATTCAGACATAGCGGTAAACGAGCTGATTGTTGTGTTAGGTTAGGCTCTTTCGGTCGATTTCAGAATGGGAAGGAATGAGGATGATAGGAATTAGGGGGAGACAGGGGGCCTGGGCGTGAATCCTGGACCTCATACTCCGCTGGGGCTGAGCCCATCACGTGGGTTGGATTGCCATGACACATGGATAGCCCTGGGCGGTGTTTCATGGCCCCGCGCTGCTGGCACGCTGCGCTGCGCTGCTGCATTGTTGCGGCGGTTGATATGAATTCGGCTCCACGCTAGCGTTGCGAGCTTCCGAGTCTGTTGATGTTTCCATGGAAATTGGAAACCCAATGCACCGGTGCGCGCAACGCACCCTGTCTCAGCAAAATTTTACCATCGATGACCTCTAGTGACATGACCTCTGGTTATGACCCGATCCAAAATTGGCTGAAGTATTTTTTTCTTCTTTTTGCTACTTTTGACGCTACTTCGAATACCACTTAAATGCCGCTGAGTTAAAAGAATGATGCTCAATCCCCGTTTCCCCTCCAACAGGGCGTGAGAGTCTAGGGCATTCCTGTGGGGCACGGGCTAACAATGACTATCTCATAATCATTGTGGCCATGAACAACTACTGCCATTCTTTAACACCGGTTTCGCTGCGCTGAGCGGTGGCCGTCCCGTTTGTTGGATTCTACAGCTGGCTGGCGGAAAGCGTTACCGGCCGCCCGTCCACCGCCCGCGGGCCGGACCGAGCGGTCCCGCTGACCCTACCTGACCTGAGCCCAGCGCGATATGGGACAGGCAGACGGGGGTTCGGCTCAGCGAATGCAGCGCCCACTGGTGCTGGGGACTTTTTTAATAGACCTACTGTACAAGGCTATGACAGTCGAGAATCGCTGGAAGACAGTAAGGAGGGCTGGTGTTTGCTACCAGTGCCTGGGCCCTCACAGGGTTCGGTCCTGTATGAGCCATCCATGTTCGTCCTGTGGGGAGCCTCACCACACATCGCTTCACCATCCGACCCAGCACCAACCGACAAGGCCTGCACCTGATGCACCGAATCTGCCACCATCACTTACCACCACATCAGGATACCGACCTGATGATGTGCCGACCCACCACACATTCCACAGTCGCAGAAGTGATGACATGTGTAGCCTCAACCTGATGGAGGTCTCAGACCAAGAAGCTGTGAACCGAGACGGCCTCCCAGTGACCGAACCCTCCTGTAACGACACCGCACAGCGGTGCAAGACGAATCTTGTGCAGGAGTTGTACTGCCAACCAGTAGCCAGCTCTGCCAACCGGTCCACTCACCAGATGATGATGCCGAAACGGAAGCTTGAAACCAGCCAGCCACCCAAATCCGAGACGCGGAGCGATGCTGTCATCAAAGAAACAGCAACCAAACCACCGAAACCGACATCGAATGTGGAGGATACCGCCCTCCAACCCACCTCTGAACATGGTGGAGGAGACCGCTCCATTGGCACACCGGCTATTGGATACTCCACCAACCTGAATGATGATGCCGCCCTCTTCCCTCCTCACCATGAAAGTAGGAAAAAGAGGAAGCTACGTGACGTAGTTGAAGGATCTGTGGAAGACATCACCGGACAGAGTCTTGCACAACACCTACCTGCAACCGGACAAAAACCGGCCGTGACAACTGGTGGCTGTGACACTCAGTTCCCAAGCAGGGAAACGGCATACCAGACTGACACCTGGAAGAGCTGCCGTCAGATGATGGAAACGGGACCACAACGATCCGTCAGCAGACTGCACCGCCACAACATTGAGCCTGACTAATCTGACGTCTCATCAAACTAGTCATACGGAGACTAGTAGCACGATTCATCTTTACCGACATTTTTCACAGCACTCGCCATTCACCACGGCATCACCACCAGCATATGCATCATGAGCACAAACTTCTTCTTGGCCTTATCTGCCTTTGTTATAGCCCCACGCTTACTACTGTGTGATCTGTGTGTTTGGTTGTGTGCGTGTGTGGATGTGTTTGTGCTCTGCCCGTACATCATACTCACGATGAATTTAACTCTGCCATCAGAACGTTGAC